GTGATACAGTACCTTTTATGGTTTAAGCGTTATAAGCCTTCAAGCTTACCGTTATCTTTTAGGCAGGATTATAGGAAATTAATCTAAGAGACTTTTTCCCCCTCCCTTTTTATTGGCTATATTTTTGTGGATTGGTAGTACCAAGCATGGTGTACGCGTATACCCGTATCGATTTTATTACTCATCAAGACATCTAGCAGCCTACCCTCAAATTGAAATTATTGATTTTTTTTTTTTTTTTTTTTACACTTGGAAGCGATACAACACATTTCATTATTTAATGTGTTTTAAAAAAATATCTTAATGGTCGTGTATTAATTGTTTTAAGAAATAAACAATTTTAATTTAATATGCAAGACCAAGGGTAAGAACAAGCGTATCTTCGACTCTGAAACGTTTTTAACGTCTTTACCAAAGACGTTTTCTGTGACTAGCTGTTAAAAGACACCTTGTTACACAGCGGCAATCAAGAGAGAATATATCTGTCATTAGGCTAACTTTCACTGCTTACTACTGACCAAAGAAAAATATGATTGGACAGGCTTGAAAAGTGTAACAGTCGACAGTCTGTGTACGAAAAGACCAACTATTATAAATTGTTTGTGAATCTTAGGAAGGACATTCATTACACCAGCTATCGTATGACACCTAACAATCGGTTGGTTGTGTGGTGTTTTCTGCGCCAAACAACCAGTAAAAGTAAATAAGAGTAAAATGTAAAAATAAAGCGAGTTAAAACCAAAATATGTCCAAAATTTGGATAAAATATTTATAAGATACAATTAGAAATACCAATATTGCGAAAAAAATGAAAAATACAATCTAATCGGACAGTGTTACCATTACCAATGACACTGTCCAGCGTCAGGGGTAAACTTTAAAAGAAAATGTGCCTAAAATGGTGCTGCCACTCACGGTCGTAACGACGGCACGACAGTAAAATGTGGGCTATTGTGACTTGAGTGTCACAATGGCGCTACACATCGGTGGGTCAATACCTGATAAAGAAAACAATGGGTTAAAAAACTATGACCAATGCGTAGCCTTGCCAGGACTATTTCCTCCTTACGGAAACAAGACAGCCAAAGACCAACAGAAGGTTTGATCTGGAAAAGCTTATTATGGCGTTACTCACCCCAAGTCGACTGCCAACTGGCACGAAGCGGCGCCTTGAAGACAGGATGGTAGTCCATGTATGGGACAGGCACGGCCGTGATTGCACCACAGCAGACAGACTTAGCTGCGGGTGTCAGCGACCTCATTCCCGTGAATGCCGACGTGGCCAAGGATCCAGAAAAATTGGATAGAAATAGAAGATAGATAAAAGTGGGCCAATCGGTATTGAAAATCGACGAAAACAGGGTGAAAACTAACGTTAAGCCATTTCAGGGCCAATAGAGCTAAGAGAATCAGTGTAAATAGTACAATTACTGTACTGCATAGCTTCTACATGATCCAGGGCAAGAGAAATAGCATACAACTCGGCATTGAACACAGAAACTGTAGAGGTGATCCACCTTCCCCAGATGACTCAAGGAAAGGTCAAGGATAGGATGGTAATAAGCCATGGTGGAATAGGCTGATCATTGAGGACAGCAATGTCATCCAATGCCAGACTCAATTCAGCCACTAGTGCCCGGATACGAAGGCCAAACAGAGGACTAGCAGACCATCTGTTCTGAAAGAGCATTGCCCACTGAGGAAGAAAAACACAATCCCAGGTGGGATGCCGTGGTTAGGATCTAAGCTTGGAAGCATATTGTAAAGAAAGTTGCAAACAAAGGAGGTGAAGAAGATGTTCATACGACTCAGTGTACAAACTCTGGAGTGGAGAAGTGTGAAAAGTCCCGGTGCAGAGCCGAAGAACCAGATAGTAAATGGGGTTAAGCATCTTCATGGCCGAGGTCCTGGCAGAACCAAAGACCCAAAATCCAGTTTGGATCGAATCAGGGCACGATAGATCCTGGGCATAGAACATCAATCTGCTCCCCAAGAGCTGGAAGAGAGGACATGGAGGATGTTCAGAGCCCTTGCACACTTGACATGTAGTTGCTTGATGTGCAGAATGAAGATAAGCCCCAAGAAGAACCACATAAATAACTATATCGCTGAGACGGAGTTTGCAATGGTCCTTGTCATCAACCGATTGAGAGCAGTCTGAAGCTGCTGCTCAATAAACCTCATGTAAAACAACTGACACGAGATGTGGAAGTCGTCGACATAGAACCCATTTGCAACAGTCGGAGGAAGATTATTAGTGATGGCATTAATTATAACACTAAAAATTGTGACACTCAAGACACAGCCATTAGGGATTCCAAGTTCCTGTGGGAAGGAATGGGAAAGAGTTGAACCCACATGTACTTGGAATCGCCTGTTCAGTAAAAAGTTTAAAAAAATGGGTAAATGGTCATGCAACACGTAGGAGTGGAAGTCCTGCAAAATACCATATCTCCACGTGGTGTCATAAGACTTCTCGAGATCAAAGAACATAGAAAGAAGGTATTCTCTCTTGAGAAAGGCTTACGTGATCGACGTTTTAAATCGAATCAGATGGTCCATGGTGGATTGCTGTCGACGGAACCCACATTGGGTGGGTAAGAGGATCATGTTTGATTCCAGGAACCAAACAAGACGAGCATTAACCATCCTCTCTAGAACCTTAGAAAGACAACTAGTCAAAGCGATGGGACGATAATTAGAAAGAATCTTGGGATCCTTCCCAGGTTTGGAGAAAGGGAGGACAATAGCCTGGCACCAAGCATCTGGAAAAATATGCTTCTGCCAGATCCAGTTAAAAATAACCAGAAGAATAACAAGAGAGGCAGGAGAGAGATGGTGCAACATCTCATAATGAACATCATCAGGTCCGACCAATGTACTGCCAGATCGATGAAGAGCAAGTTTGAGTTCCACCACTGTAAAGGGGCTATTATAATCATAGAGACGTTCGGCCCGAAAAGAAAGAGGCGATCGCTCTGCTCGAGACTTTATGGCCAAGAAGGCAGAGGAAGAAACAGAAGTGCTAGATGCACGAGAAAAGCTCTGGCCGAGAGCATCAGCAATGCTCTGGACATCAGCAACTTCCTGGCCATTGGAGAGCAAGATGGAAAGGGGATGGGAAGCACACCTCCCAGTGACTCTCCGAATCTTGTCCCATACAATTTTGGAACTGGTGGTAGAAGAGATGCTAGGAGTCTTGGATAAAGTTCACTACCCCATGCTCGGCAGGTTCGACGTCAAAGCCAAAATGCACAGGCCCGCTGATAAACAATGCGGTTAGAAAGATTGGGATACTGTCGAAAGGTATCCCAGGCCCGTTTTTGAGCCTTCCATGCCTCCTGGCAGGCAGGACTCCACCATGGACGAGGATACCGTGGAAAACGTGTCGGGGTCTTAGAAATATAATAAAAATCCCCCTGGACAATACAGTCAGTCACTGCCACCACACAATCGTCTATTGATGGTAGACAGACGAAGGCAGGATCAAGTTCAGAGAGAGAGGAGAAAGATGGCCAGTCAGCCTGGTCCAGCTTCCACCATGGCACTCGGGTCGGTGGCATTGACCATGGCCAACCTCTCTCAGTATGAAGGGAAATGATCACTGCTCCGAGTATCGCTGTCGACCATCCAAG